TTTTAAGTTATTTTAAGACTAGAACAGGTAAAATAAGTGATAATAATAATAATATATTAAAATTATTTCACGAATCACGCACACGAGCAGCTTGTTGGTAATGTAATTTGGTAGCGTAATATGAGCTGCACGTTCCCCGAGTGATTTACAACTTATAATGGCATGGGCAGCAGTTAGACATGGTTCAATGGGCAAAAAAAACAATAAAATTTAATTATAAATAGATGTATAATGTTACGAACTTAGAGCTACTTAGGATAAACAAATGTAGTTTCAGGTTACAATCTGTCATACTAGAAAGAAAAGGTTAATTTAGGTTTATTTCGATTTTTTTTTTTGGTGGTTATGAGGTCGGTCGAATTGACCGATCCAGTTTTGAGATTAGGGTAGAGAAAATAACAAACTATAAGGATTTAGTGAAAAAAACTTTTGAAATGCATTTAAGAGGTTTTAGGGATTATACAAAGGAAATTTGAGATTTTTGAGATGACGAAAAGTATCTTTAATTTTAACATGAAAATTACCTTGCACACGGATTATTCAAAACAAATACTCAATATATTCATGGACATAACTTTATTTTATTTTATTAAAAATACTTCACAAAGAAATATGACTTTTGTATGTGAAATATTGTAATATTGACTGAAAGACTGCCAAATTTCGTGAAGATATACCTAATATATAGAGAGTTATAAGTATTAAATTTATGTCAACTTTAAACGAGTACAGAAGGTCACGTGACTCGGTCAAACCAACTGACCCCATGTTGGAAGAGTTAAACTAGCAGTGAAATGCTCAAAACAGATTTCAAGTTTTGGACTTTAGAATCATTTCAAGTAGGTACTTCACCTCTGAAACACTTTTTAGTCATTCTCACTCTGTCAACAACCTTTGTGAGTTTTGACTGCAAATGTCCTTGTTGCCATGCATTACATGCATCACGTGACATATTGTGCAAGTGCCCAGAAAATCACATAAGTTCTGTTTTTCACTACAAGTCAGATTTCTTTATTTATAGTAATGATGTAGCAGCACATTTCTCCCAGTTGTGGAAAGGTAGGTGGGAATGTATTTTAGAGGTGAGTACCTGCTTGAAGTTAATTTTAATTGTAAAGATGTAAATTTCAAATCAGGGAGACTTGTCTTTGAAATAATCTAAGTCAGAATACCCAGGGGGAGTCAGGCTTTATGGAAATACCAGGGTAATCATGCACATCCATAGGTATGGTCCCAGGTGGTGGCTGCTCAGTTTTCCAAGGTGAGAGAGCAAAGTACTGTCTTATACTAGTTAGTAGAAGATTCTCAGTGGAGAAAATCAATAATTCAGTATAGATTTGGCTTATTCCTACATCTACAATTCCCATCATCCAAAACTGAAAAAGTAACCAATCACTAAATTGGCCTAGTCAGCAGGCACCCAAGAAGAATCAAACAGAGCTGGATGGTCCTGAGTATGTACTCATTAATTTGAGAACAGTGCAATGTGAACACCATATAAGGAACTAAGAGAAGGTGAAAATGAAGCTATACAATGTAAACCGTTCTGGTTGAAGCTATGAAGCATCAGTTGTAGAATGATCTTTAAATCTCCAATTTCTAAAATTGCTGTGCAAGGAATTGCATGACAAGGTGGTAAATGGTACGTGCCGAGGCATTATACAACATATAATGGTATCTTATGTCCACTTCCAAAAGGCTCCACCCTCTCAAGAAGCACCAGCACAGAGGATAGAATAGTGTCTATGACAACTGCAGAGGCAAAAGGAAATATATTCAAAAATGTTAACTGGACAAAATAACTATATCACAGAGTACTATGGTACAAGAGATAAACTGAATTTTTTTTTAAGGAGCATAACTGAACTTACTTGTTAGGGATTCAACTTGGCTTAGACTATCACCAATAAATATAAACCCAAAGCTGAAGAGACAATAATATGATGCGAGTAAAAGCTTAAAAACATATATGGATTCTACCACATACCTGCCTGCAGAATGTCATCTAATGAGTTACTGTGACTGAGTTGCCAAAGGCTTTGCTCAATGTCAAATTTGGTGAAATGAAACCAAAAATTCACATGTAAGGTAATGGAGCACATCATGGTAAACAAAACAAATCAATTGTTGTGACAGCCATTTTGTTAATGCTGTTGAAGCAAGATCCAAGAAGTATGTTTAATCATGAGGTATAAAAAGCCTTTTCCAGAATCTCCTGAATAATTCAGTGCATGTAAGATTACAATGAATAGTCCTGATGGGACATAAAAAATGATCCTCTGAACAAGAATCAGGTTCAGTCCAAACAGGTAAGAAACAATGAATACCTTTCATTGTGGCCAGTGTCTTAGGTAGGAAGGCACTATATGGATACAAATACAGAACCTTCCAAAAAAAATAAAATGTGATGCATCGAGAGTAATGGCACAGATATCTCAACTTCTCCTACCCAATGCAACCAAAAAACATGTCTTGAGGAAAATAAGATAAAGCAAACAAGTTGCTGAGGATTCAAAAGGAGGAAAATATGTTCCAATGATGGTAATGTGATGTTTTCCATGTGAGAAAGACAACTTAAGAGGGGGAAAACATGGGTCGAGTGGCCAGCTTGGAGTAATGAGAAAATGATACTTTCATGAAATCGATCTTCACTATTACTACTGAAAGAAGGTGGAGAGGAGTGTAGGCACAAAGGAAAAGATTCTCCCAATTTTGATGCAAGGCATCAACTAATAGTGAAGACGGATTCAGTACTGAAGACTAGTAATGGAAGAAGATTGGGGACACCATTGCAAAGGCAACTGATCAATGAAAGAACCAGCTGTACCAAAATCACCAAAAACTCAAAGCATGAGGAGTCCACTTTGTGAGAAGAAACCAGCAATTTTAAAAACAGAATCTGCCAAAATGTTCATCAACCTGGAACAAGACATATTTGAAGGTAAACACATTAGATCTATAGTCTCTGGGAAAGAAGAATGTTTTGGAGTTAGCACGTGCGAGTGTGATTCAAGGATATAACATATAAAAGGGAGCCATCATCCCCAAAGAAAAAAGGTGGTAAGTGTAAAAGAAAGAAGTTTGTGCAAGGCTCAAAGCACCATAGAATACAGTTGAAGAAT